GCGGCCGTTAGGGGCGGGGCGGGGCCGCGCTGCGGCTGCGCTGCCGCCGGCCGGGCGGGCGCCGAGCGCTGCCCCTGTGTCGCCTTTTTCCTGCCCTCCCTCTTCTCTTCATTTATTTATCTATCTCTTCTCCTTGTCCTCCCTGCTCGGGAGGGCCGTGGGGGTCGCTCCGAGCGGTGCGTTCGCAGGCAGCCTTGCTGGGGGCCGCGCGCTCTTCCCGAGGCGCTCCTGGACGGAGCGAGGACCGTCAGGCCAAGCCCGCGCTCGGGCCTAGCCGAGCACTGGGGCCTGTCGATACCGCTGCCCATGAGCAGTCCCCTGCGCGTCCCGCCTCGCTGCTTTCTAGACATTCATAGCGAAGCTTCCACTTTCCTTTTCCCTCCTTTTATCGTATCATGCCGTATTTCCTTGCAGTGTCTCATGTGACTCAGACCTACCATTTTTTCCACTTAATAGTCTTATTCAATAGTCAATAAACAAATAAAGTCAATAAACAAAAAATGAATAAATATTCAATAGTCAATAAACACCTCTTTTTTTCAGACAGGATTCAGTCTAGTGTGGTCCTTCAGGTGCACTTAAGCATATTTTGCAATTATAAAAGCCATTTTAAAGCTGAAGCAAAGTAACCTGTCAGGGCTGTGCCTGCCTTGTACATGTGCCTACTATATATAATAGTAGGACTGTTTGTGGATGAGATGCAAGAAATGTTTTACACTTGTTGAATCAGCACTAAAATACGGCCATGCCACTGTTGATCACCTAATTTTTATTAGCCAGTGGTAAAATTCCTTTAGCATGGGTATACCTGTAACATTCTGCCTATACAGAAGAGAAACTAAGCGGTTTCCTTACTCTTTCCCTCCTCTATAAAGCTTCTGTAACCTCCTTTAGTGACCTCTAAGCATGTAAGCACACACAAAAGCAGTGTAGTGAAGGTCTACGGACACCATACACATCGTTTTGCGAGGAGGCTGGTGTAGGTGTCTGGTGTTGGGCAACAGCCTCTCACCGACCACGGAAGGAGAGGGCTCCTCAGAGCGGGAAGGTGCCCAAATATAGGGCGATAACAGCTAGAAAGAGCACCTGGGTTCCCACACCTCCGTGGTCTCTTCTGCCCAACGAGTTTTCCTGTCCGCATGGAAAGCAGATCCAGCACTGATGAATAAGTAAAGGATGGCATGCACAGGATGAACTAAAAGATGCAAAAAAAATGGGAAGTTTTCCATAAGATCACAAAGTATACCTGCATGGAACATCCTGCAGGTTTAAGTAACAATGAACATCTATTTGTTGTTGCTGTTTATAGAGCCTTTGGAGGGAAGGAGAGGGAGGATTTTCCATATTGTTTGTAGAAATGTAATTATCCAGATGACAGTTGGGAGGGGAGGGGATGGACCTGACTCAACTGAGTTTTCCTGTGAATATGAAGGAATACGTTTGGTCAGCTGGTTATTGGTCTTAATACTGGGACATTCTTTCATTCCTCACATGTAGAAGTATTTTCCTATGACTAAACACTTTATTTGAAATACACCTTTAGTTTCCTTCCCCAAAAGCCACATTTTTACTGTATAAAAGAAACAAGCAGTTTTATGCCTTACCTAAAGCGTCACTTACAATTAAGCTCATATCTGTGTTTTGACTTGTGATGCTTCTTTGTATAGACATACACTACTTCATATTTTCACTTTTTCTGCCCAGAACTCATGTTTGTCCTTCTTAAGTTTATTACCAGCTGCTGATTTTAGTATCCATATATTCAGCCATAAGCAACTGTCCTAATGTGTTTCCCTGGTCATTTCTTTTCCCCAAAAGTAAGAAATTTTTACTTTCAAGCCTGTCCTCAAACACTTGAGAATTATAACCCCTATGTCCTTTTTGCAGCAGCCACAACTGACTGTTGTAGCGCTCATTTAGGCTGGCTTACCTTGGTGCAGAGTTTCACCAAGGTGTCTTTAAATCCTAACTTGCTTTGGCATCCAGGAGCAGGGGGAACAGGGCCTAACAACCCCCCAAGGCTCTAGTTTTGACAGATAGGCATAAATACTCTGACATGCAGGGTCCTTAATAAGTGCTGTTATAACTGATTTCAGTAAATAAGCAGTTTCTGGGTAGAAAAAGGATTGGCCTCTCCTTTTCTGATACTCCAATTAATTATAGGGGGCCTGCCAATACCTCAAATAAATTTATTTCTTCACCCAGGAAGGTTCACATACACACACACACACATATATATATATATCATACACACACACACACACACACACACACATATATATATATAGCCAGTATTTCCCAGGAAAGGACTGCAAGCATCAGGAAAGCTTAACTGTTTGGTGCTGGGCTTTGGATTCAGCTGAATGGGCGTCTGACATCTCTGTATGAAGTAGCTACAGACACTGCAAATTCGGATGAAAAGTATCTAAATCATCTTTCACTGCTCCTACCCTTTCTCGTCTCTCCCATCCACACAAGTGAAAGTGCCTGAAATCATAAGGGAGTTTTATCTTCAGTAATTGAACAGAGTGATTAAATTGGTAGCCAAAATTTGTCAATCCTTCCTTTAAAATATTTATTTTTATATATTGGCCTTTTTTACTACTTATTAATCTTTCCTCCCTTCTGTCTAGCTATTTATTTTGTTGCATCTTTGTCCCTCCCCGTTCCTTTTCAGAATTGTCTATTCCTGTCCCTGCTTTGCTGCTTAGGCTTTCATGAATCACATGGTCTCTCATGATGTAGAGATACTTTCCTTCGTGTAAGATATGCTTTATATACTACTGTATAGTAGCTTGGGATTAAGAGGTGTTACAACTATACTAAGCTCACTACTATAAGCATTGCATATAGGTATTAGACAGACCTGCTGTTACATCTGTACATCTACTGCTAAGTTTTACATGAAAGTCATTTGCTTTTCAGAGTGTAAAAAATGGATTTGGCCAACCATGGACTCATTCTGCTGCAGCAGCTAAATGCTCAGAGAGAGTTTGGCTTCCTGTGTGACTGCACAGTTGCTATTGGTGATGTCTACTTCAAGGCACACAAATCTGTCCTTGCCTCTTTCTCCAACTACTTTAAGATGTTGTTTGTTCATCAAACCAGGTAACTATGAAAGGGTTGACTGATAAAATGTTGCTCGGTTAGCTAAGGTAAGAGAGTCTAGCAATATCCTGAAGCCTTCTGAATTGTTCTCTTTGCTTCTTGCTGTGACATACAATGAATCTGCAATCTGTTCCTGCCTGCAAACTGGAAGACTAGTAAAAAAGTGTTAAAAGTTGAACTGTGATTCTTTAACAAGCACGTTATAATTTAGCAAATGTACTGTATCTTTCAAAAGCCCAGAATGCCTAGAATTCAATATTTAAGGTCTCCTGTCTCTCCACTGTTGAACTTTTTTTTTCCTACCACTTACACTTCTCCACCCAGTCTTGGCACCACTTCTGACATTCCCATAACATTATATACAACCCAACAGGTATTTGCTAACAAAATTTAGAGAAATAAACATGTAAAAGATGGCAATTTTCTTTCAATTTCTTTTTTTTAAAGTTTACCAAAGTAGATAAAGTAGACTAAATAACAAAATATTATATAGTGATGTAAAATGAGGGATCTTTTTTTTTTTTCTTTTTTTTTTTTTTACAGACAGCCAGACATAGTGGGCATAGAAAAGATAAAGAAAGTTTTGAAGATATTCTTGCTCTTTTTTCTTCCAATTATTTGAACTTGCTTGAAATATTTATAGTAAGTGAGCAAATGCTAAGAGTTCTTAACCATAAGTCAAGGTCAAAGGCACATTTGCACTTGTGAGACAGGGCTGCAAAGTAAGTCTGTAAGTCTTGATGCTCTGTCAAGAGCATATAATCATCTCTGAGGACAGCACCGCCAGTGTTTACATTTGAATAATATCTCTTGAGTTCAAAAGCAGTCACAGGGGCAGCTCAAGAAGGATGCACCTCAGCTGATAAACAAGTGAATTGACTGCAATTTCCTCCTCAGCTTAGTTGCCTACTGTGGTTAGAGTATTTAGGCAGCAGCAGGGGGTCATGCCTGCCCCAGATTTCTGCTTTTTATTCAATATTTGTTTAATGTAATAGCTACAAATAACTCAGAGGAAATCAGAATCCCCGATTCCTTCCTATCATCCAGCCCACTACACAAGACATTCCCAATTTTCTTTCCTCTTCCGTGAATCTTGCCTGTCCTTTCTTTCCACGCAACTATCAGGCTTCAGCAGAGGAGCAGAAGGGATTTCAATTCATAGAATCGTTATGGTCAGAAGAGACCTTCAGGCCCATCAAGCCCAGCAGATGCAGAGTCTCCTGCAGCGGGATGGATGCTCCCGGCGGGAGGGCAGACTTTGTTGGGATGCTCTGGGCAGGAGGGGGCATTGCAGCCCTGGGGTCCCCCTGAGTGCCCTAACCAAGGGGCCAGGCTGCCCCTTCCCGCCGCCTGCTCCAGGAAGGCGGCTGCTCTCCGGCCCCGTGCCAGCCTGCCCTTCGCAGCCCATCCCTGCTGCATCGCAGCCCGAGGGAATTCCCGTGTTTTCCCACCTGGTTTCTGGATCACAATACAAATTAGATGTGGTGGTAATGAACATTTGCAAAACTGTTACTGTAAATGCTGGTGAGACACTGAAACCAGAGAGAGGCAAGTGCCAAATTAACTTTAGGTGTTCTCGGGAGTAAGAGCTGGAATAAAAATGGATTGTGAATTTAGACTGACTAGGAGGTTTTATTTCAGCTACAGACATGTTTATATCCAAGAAAAGAGGACAAAATACCATCACAATTTGCAAAATATATTAGTATGTAGCAATAATTCAATAACATAACAGCAATTCAGAAAGCTATGGATTGCAATGGGACAGCTTTATCTTTCAAGCCGAGTTACTTTCCTCTGAAAAACAAAATCTCGTCTTTAAAGCAGCTGATAAAATTAGCACCTTTATATCAGGGCATTTCTCAGCTGATGGAAGATACCCTATCTTTTTAATGAACACTCACCATTACTGGACTTGACGCGTAGTGTAGTATCTACATGATGTGATAAGATTTTCCCATCATTATGAGAATGACAAATACAACTTCATATCACCATAACAAATGTGTTCACTCATTCCAGACTGATAAGCAACTGCTAGTGTCCTATTCCCATTAGTAGAATGGAGATATTTCATTAAGCAAACACATTTATTGCATGTTGTGTCTTTCAAATTTAAGTGACGTATCTGTTTTTTATTAACAATTTAATGACCTAACTCTGGTTAAAAAGGTGCTTTTCCTATCTGTTACTGATGATTTTGTTTCACATTGCAGTGAATGTGTCCGTTTGAAAGCCACTGACATACAGCCAGATATCTTCAGTTATCTCTTGCATTTGATGTACACGGGGAAGATGGCACCGCAGCTCATTGACCCAGTTCGACTGGAACAGGGAATAAAGTTTCTGCATGCATATCCCCTAATTCAAGAGGCCAGCCTCGCAAGTCAGGGAACTTTTTCCCACCCGGATCAAGTTTTTCCATTAGCATCTTCATTATATGGCATTCAGATTGCAGATCACCAGATAAGACATCCCACTAAGGTTACATCAGCATCTGACAAACTCGGGCGGGAGCCGAGGCCCCAGACTTCCCGGATGAACCCGGAGCAGGTTCCCGAGGGCTCGCAGCTGCCTACGGCCCTGCCACAAGTGACCCGGACAAATATGAGCGCGTCCGACCCGCTGCCGTCATCTCTGTCTCCGGAGCTGGTGTCTGCCGCTGGCAATAACTCCCCCGCGGGAGAGGAAGCCGCCATGGAAGCGTCTTCCTCGGATGAGCAGCCCTCGCTCACCATAGCGCACGTGAAGCCGAGCATCATGAAGAGGAACGGGAGCTTCCCGAAATACTACGCCTGCCACCTGTGCGGCCGCCGCTTCAACCTGCGGAGCAGCTTGCGCGAGCACCTCCAGATCCACACGGGCGTCCCCTTCACCTCCTCCCAGCAGGGGGACAGCAACATCTCCCTGTCCCTCTGTAACAACACGGCGGAGAAGGAGGCCATGGAGGTGCCCGAGGCGGGAATGATCAGCGACAGCGAGCTGCAGCAGATCTCGGACTCGCCCCTCATCGACGGGCAGCAGCAGTCGGAGACGCCGCCGCCCTCCGACATCGCAGACATAGACAACCTGGAGCAGGCCGACCAGGAGCGGGAGGTGAAGCGGCGGAAATACGAGTGCTCCATTTGCGGCCGCAAGTTCATCCAGAAAAGCCACTGGAGGGAGCACATGTACATCCACACGGGCAAGCCGTTCAAGTGCAGCACGTGCGACAAAAGCTTCTGCAGGGCCAACCAGGCTGCCAGGCACGTGTGCCTAAACCAGAGCATGGACACGTACACCATGGTGGACAAACAGACGCTGGAGCTCTGCACTTTCGAGGAGGGCAGCCAAATGGACAACATGCTGGTGCCGACCAACAAGCCCTACAAATGTAACTTGTGTGACAAAACGTTCTCAACTCCCAATGAAGTAGTTAAACATTCGTGCCAAAACCAGAACTCTGTTTTTACCCTAGAGGAAGATCGCTCCATTCTGCTAGGTAGCGGGGACGCGGAAGCCACGGAGACTGAGAATTCAGTGTTAGCCTCCATCAAAAAGGAGCAGGAAGCAGTGTTGTTAGACTGAATGTGAAACCTGTCTCAATTTTTAACATTTCTTTATTCATTTTTATTAAACCGATTTCTCCCTCCCCTCTCTTACCTCACTTTCCTCCTGCCGCCTTTTCCACCATCCTCCTGGGCGCCCGTTGTCTTCAGCAACCAGAACTGCACCGGCACATTAGGGAATGGGACTTTGCCTCTCCCACCAAAACAAACAAAAAGCTCTCGCATCGAACCACAACATAATTGATTTTAATACAAAGGAACGCGTGAAAAAGTAATCCAGCTAACTATGCTGATAGGATTAGCTAATCTAAATTGCATAGATTTTAAACAGAGTTTAGGTTACTTAAAAGCATATTTAGATACAATGATGAGTGTAATGAGAAACGGAATGAGTTTGGTAAGCAAAGAGTATATATATATATATATATATATGTTTCCCCGGTAAAAGGCATTTTGAGAAGATCTGGCAAAATCAAACTCCATGTGCAAGTTAATTATTATAACTTAAAAGAAATCTTTTTTTTTTCCTCAATCCAAGAAACTATTAATTGACTAAAAAATTGCTGTGGGTTTGGGGTGGGATTTTTTTTTGCCTTACATTGTCCTTCAAATATGCCTTTGGATATCTGTTTCGAGTAGCATCATTGATTCAAACAAAGCAGTTACTTGATCCAATTTTGACTCAAGTAGCTGTAATAATAATGTGATGGCAATCTTTATATATATATATATAAAATACTGTATATGCATAGAGATTTATATATATATATATAGAAGGTGTTTGTGTGTATATTTGGTACAGGTAAATGAATGCACACATCCTGTGTAAGCAACTGGCCATCTGCGTTCAGATTCAGCCCCAAAAGTCTTTTAGTTGTTTGACAGATCTCGTCACTGCACGGATTATTTTTAACCAAATGGAAGCTGTCCTGAGCTGTGTGCGTTTCCATCGGCCTCTTGAAGGAAGCGGATACCTGAGGGTTGTCACTCCGGATACCCGGGGCTCTGGAGCGGTTGGCGGGCGCAGCTTTAGTTTTGTGTCCTCGTTCTGGATGAGAGGAGAAACTCCTGCCTTCCTGAGGCAAGGAAGGCCCAGGATTTCACTGGAGCTGCTGGCGTGAGCTCCGATGAAGAGGAAGGAGCAGAGAGACCTGCCAGCGGCAGGGGATCATGGTTGCTTGGCAGTGGATCTGCAGTCCCCAAGCGGCAAATCTTGCTCTTTGAGAGTCCCGTTGTTTCCAAAGCCAAGACAAAGTCTGCAAAAAACTGCAAGGATGAGTTCTGTAGTTTTAGTTACTGCTGATGATAGCACTGCATCTTTGTGTTTAAAATCAAGTTGTTGATTCTTACTATTTTATGTAAATGCCTGGAATTTTTGCCAGTAGCCTAAAACCCTAAACTGACAGCAGCAGTGAAGCCCCCCGAGCAGTCCCCGGGCCCACGGAAGCTGAAGCAGCCAGAACAAGAGCCCCGTCCAAAAGGGAGACCGCGTGTTCGGGGGGAAGGGGTGGGAGAGGGCAAGTCACAAACCACAGCTCTGCTCTGTGTATACGTTTAAACTGAATATCATCTTTTTGTGTATAGTTAAGTTCTCAGATTTGTAAGTTTTTATACATCATTTCATTGAATAAAAACTGAATTAAATTGGATGTTATTTATTGAGTTGAAGGTGAAAGGTTATTGGATTTTGATCCTTCTGAAGGAGCTGTGACTGGAGCGGTTGAAAAGCCGAGCAGCATATTCAGTACATGGGAGTAAAACTTCCTTCCTCTATGAACAAATAGCCTAACGAAGCCTAACACGGTGGTCTTAGCACAAAGGATCACTATGCATTTCTCAAGTTTATTATAAGATAGAAATTATTGTAAAGTTTATTATAAATGCTTTTGAGCTGATTATATCGTATTAGAGTAATAGATTTAAAATCAATTATTTTTACTTCAAAGTATAAAAGCATTCTGAGGTTTTAAAAAAAGCCTGTTGAATCATTTTAGTGATGCCCATTTTAAACTTTTTTTAGTGTCTTTGTCTGCCCAGGTAATTTCTCTAACTATGTTCTTACTTGATCGCACCAAGTTTGAAACGCAGTCAGAGCCGAGCTGCTCGCTGAGACAAGGACAGGGCTTGGGAGCCGCTCTGCTCCCGGGACAGACCCCGCTCGTCTCCGAAGGGGAGGCCCCGGGCGGGCCGGTGCCTGCCCTGGCGGCGAACCTGCAGCCTCCGCGGGGCAAGTAACGCCCGCTAAATTCCTTCTGAAGAAATAACCTGTCCGGAAAGGAAATAATCCTGCAGTTGGGAGATTATTGTGATACATGCTCAACTATTATAATGGTTTATTTGAAATGCGTTATTGTCTCCACAGTGATATTTAAGTCATCGTCTTCCTGGGAACTTCTGTTCCTGATGAATCAGGAGCACTCCAGAAGGCAGGCCTTAACCCTGTTTTGGTTAAAGAAATAGTTTTCAGGATATTAGCACTGCACCAAGAATTTGAGTACTATATCCTTACAGCACAACTATGGTTTTATTTGAGCTTCTTGTTTAATCTCACCTGAATTAGTATTGCCATTAGAGAAAAGTTCTACTTTTATCTTTAAATTTCTAACCCAGACTGTTACGGCTGAGTTATTCCTTCAGTCTGTTCTCCTGGTGAAGTTGGGACTGTTCTATAACATTTTAAAAAGTCAGCTGTGCAGACATAATCACATGTGTGTTGAATAATCACAGTGAAATAAGCCATCATTCCAGCCTGAAACTTATCCCTGGTATAAAAGAAATGCATTAACTTGCATTGCCCTGTCATGTAACAGTAAGATGCCTCTGCCCTGGCCTCAGGAGCACTTGGCACCTGCAGATCCAGGTGCACCTGCTCAATGGCAGGGAAGCAACAGCAGCTGCCCCCGTGTCCTCCAGCATCCCAGTTCCGGTGTGCTTCCCAGTCTGCCTGACAGCCGGATGTCACCTTTGTAGGTATTGCTGCCTTTGGTGATGTCTTTTAGTTCTCTTCAACACAAGCTATTGAAAACTAACGTTGTCTGTTATTAATTCAGCTAAATTATGTTTATGTGATTGCTTTTACACAACTTTTTATTCACCTGAAGAGAAACACGTTTTGAAGTAAATTGGAGTTTGGTTATCTACTCTGCTATTTTGTTATTTATTGCTTCTTTAAAGGCAACAATGTTTCCGTTGAACAAGCTACTTCATAGCTCTGAATGATTAGGAGGCTTGGGGCTACTTAAAGAAAAGTAGCAGCTAACTGCTACTTATATCCCAGCTAGCCCTGGCGATAAAGACAATATCTCATTTATTTATTTATCCATTTTGTGGGTTCATTTTTAAAGTTATCCTACTCTTGGGCAGGATGTTTCTGTTATCGGGGTTATCGGGTATTTTATTTGTTTGTTTTTTGATTGTAAATATGCTTTTTGTCTCTGGACCATGAAATCCCATTCATACCAAGACCTGGACAGAAAAGCGTCTTTTGCATTTTTGTATTTTTGCTTCCAGATGATCTATGATCATTTCTAGAAGTGAGAGAAACTTATTGTCCTTAAATAGGGCCTTCTGTCAAGCCTACTCTTAAAAAGAAGTTAAAAAGAACTTAGCTCAAATCACCAAACTCCCTTCCTTGGCAGTTTAGACTTGCTGCCATGCAAGGTGAAAAATATATATATATTACAACATGAAAGTATATATTATTTATGAGGCAATAGGCAGATGCTTTTGCAGTTACACGTTTTGGCAGGTTTGTGTTCACATCCAATATTTTGCTTTTCTCTGAACTGAGCATCTTTTTTACATCCTAGAAGTTTTGCGTCTTCCAGCTGAGGCAGAAAATATATTCTCTAATATTTTTTCCAGTGCAGGTCGTGTATCAGTGCAGAGGTCAGGGCCACGGCTGTGACTCTGCCCTTTTACAGTGGGCAGCTTCTGGGTTTGTAACTTATGTTCTTGACGATCTTATGGTCTTGTCAGAATCCACCTGCAGCTCTCAAGTGCTACAGAGGAGGATACCTCTGTTTTTGCTTGCAAGTTACTTATGGTCCATAAGAAAAAATGAAGTTTTTGCAAACTTCCCTCAAGCAAAAATAAAGTACATTCTTACACAGTGTAGAGGAATCAATTCTAGAGCAAGTGTAGCTTGGACCCCATTCTGGGCTGTGTGAACAGCGTCCAGGAAAGCACATTAGCTTGTTTGTATAGACAGCTACAAAATGGAATTATGAGCAGAAATTTGGAGTAATTTTGCAATTTCAACAGTGGAGGAGCTTTCTAAAAGCTCTCTAGAAGGGCAAGTCACAGGGTAGACTGGCATAAGTCTCAGCAAACAATGATCTCCCAAGTTCAGCGCAACTAAGCGGAGAATCTCAGAGCATCCCGGACCCCCCTCTAGCGGCACATCACGAGGAGGCCAGGCAGGCTGCAGAGAGGAAAAATACAGCCCACTTGCTGTGTGGAAACACTCTTTTCTCTCCCCAGGTAACCGAAGGAGGAGGGAGCTTTCATTCCATGCAGCCAGTGTTTCAGATATGCCTTGAGGTTCCTGGCCCAGAATTGCCAGCCGCCTGAAAGCGTGTAACAGGGCATGGAAACAGGAAGGGCGACCGGCTGCCGGACACAGTGCGGGACAGAGGGGAGCCGCGGGGCAGACAGAGACAGGGAGGGATGGAGGGAGCTGCGGGGCTCGGCAGCCTGCCGCTCCCCTCGGCGTCGCCTCCGCCCAACCGCCCCGGGGAGCCGCGCGAGCGGCGGGGCGGGGCTGGCGCCGCCGTAACGGTCGCCGCGCCGCGCGGGGAGCGCCGTTAACGGCCGCGCTGGGGCGGGGAGGCGCGGCCGTTGCGGGGAGGCGCGACAGTTGGCGGGAGGCGCGGCCGTTGGGGCCGGCGTGGGCGGCTCCGGGCGAGGCGCTCAGAGGGGCGCGAAGCGGCCGCCAGGCGGCGCGGCGGGCGCCATCCCGCTTCCGCGCCCGCCGGGAGCCGCTCCTCGGGGAGGCGGGAAGGGCTCGCGCCGGAGCCCGCCCCGCGCGGCAGCATCCCTGCGCTGCGCGGTGTTGCCGGGGCTTCCTCAAGACCTGCCGGGTCGCGTACCTGCGTCCTGGAGGCACCCCTGTCCTGACATGTGGTCTGAAATACTGATAATGTTCCCCTGATTTTGCTTGCCCGTGCAAGCGAGGAGTTTAGATAGCACTTCAAGAACCAGGGCCAAAGGGTGCACAGGTCACCTCTCTTACTTCCTGTGGGCTGCCTGCTGCGAGCAAAATACAAGCAGAAGTCGGGTGAAAAGATCAGGAGGAGGCAGCTGTGCTGCCTGCCTGGGTGTGCCGGGTGGGATGATGCTGAGGGAAGAGCAGAACTGCCTACTCAAGCAGTGACTCTGTCTCCTGGGGTGGGACTGAGAGACAGCTAAGGGGTTATTAAGGAAGCAACCACCTCATGTGTAAAGCTAAGGATACCACGTTTTTGTTTTGTTTACATTGTGGTCACTGTACAGGCTGCAGCAGCAGTGGTGTTGAAGGCATCTGCTGAGTGTGAGTTTTTGCCCCTGCAGACAGTTCTGTGACATCTCTGTAAAATGAGCAGCTGGCAAGGGCAGGAGATTGCAGCACATGGTCTGAGCGTGCGCCCAGCGTCTGAGGTAGAGCAGGAGCAGGGGCACCACAGCAGGAGC